TTTTGGAGTAGTTTATTATTTTCATGTTTTAGAAGTGAAGTTTTAACATAATCCTTTGGCAAAACTTTTACCTGTACATTGAATGAATAATGTCCACCATCAATGATATGAAGGATCTGTAACTACATGAAATTCTGTGTCATGCAAGCTAGCCATTAACATTCAAACCAACTTTACTAGTAGGCATAATATTGATTTTAAAAGCTAACTCTCAATGGGTCCTCGACTGATAATCTGATGAAGACTGCCGGAGATTGTTTTGCGCACGCTGTAAGGTACCATGGCATTCGGGGATGGGGTGTCAGGAGTTTCAGAGATTGAACAAGGAGAAAAGTAAGAAAGAACATCTCATGGTGATGGAGCTTGCTAAACAGAAGAAATGGAAGAGATGCCCCAAGTGCAAGTTTTTTTGTGGAGAAGAGAGATGGTTCTATACATATTACCTGCAGGTTCTTCCTCTGAACCATGTAGTGATTAGTTTTCGTAGTCGTCTCTGTAGTGGTTGATGAAATGATGATACATTGAAGCTTTTTGTTTGAATTTTCAGGTGCGGGTTCGAGTTCTGCTATGGATGCGGATCTAGTTGGTCTGAACGTCATGTTTGTTGCCTGGGGAGCGTAAGAATTGCAGAAAGTAAAACTGAAGCTCATGCTAATTGGCTCTCTTAATTAGGGCATTCATCTGCATTTCCTTGTTTTGTTTCAATCTTTTGGACAGGATTTCTCAACTCAGAAGTGTTCTCTGGTTCTGTTATGTTTTTTTTTTTTTTTTGGGTAGAATTAGATATCAGAATAGAGCTGCACATTTACGCTACGTTTGGTTTGAAAGGAAAAGGTAGGGAAACGAAGGGAAAGGTAGGAAAACCCATACAAGGTTTATAAAGGTTTCCTATCTTTCCTTTCCTTACTTTTTCCTTCAAATCAAACCAAACATAGCCTTAGGAGGTGTTAGGCAATGTGTATAGTTTTGATTTTGTTTTTTAAAAACAAAACCATGTGTATACATTGGCCAACTCCTTCATCTGGTAGCTCAAAAAATGAAGTCCTCCTCTAGACGAGAATTTCAATATTTTCTCAAATCCTCTAGCTTGGCTAGAGGTTATTTTTGTTTTCTGACTGTTGTTCTTCTGGTTGTTTATGAATATGTTGTTTACTCAGTGAAAAAAAAAATCATGAAAAGTATGTTCTAGGGTGCTTGACAATTTTATATTTTATGATAATTAATGGAGGCTTGCTTGTCCTTTTGGCACGGTGCAAATTCATTTACACTAACACAAATGTATAGGAGTGCAAATAAAGAGAATGCAAATTCTCATTAATTTTTTGCCTCAGGTTTTAGTTACTTTATTTGCTTCTTAACAGAGTTGTCCATGTCAATATAAATAACAATTTTCATGACCAAATTACCCTTGAAAGGCGAGTTAGAGGAAAAGAGTCTTTTTCAGTTTTCAATTTTCTTATTTTTTTTTTGCATTTTTAGTGTTTTGTTATATAATTTCCAATGTTTTTTATAATTTCTGTTTTTTACATTTTTCTATTTTCTACTATCTATAAATTTCCCTGTATTTTTTTTGTTATTTATTTGCAATTTCTGTGTCCTTCTATATTTTTGGTGTTTTTCTACAATTTTTATTTTTTGAATTTGTTTTTCAATTTCTATAGTTTCTATAGTTTGAAAAATAATTTTTTATTTTGTTTGCAATTTCTATATTTTTTGTAATTTGTGTGTTTTTATGCATTTTATATTTGAAAATATTTTTTAACTGTTCCTTTTTTTCAAGTATTAATATATATTATATTTTTCTACGAAGGTTAAAATGGTAAATATTAACACGGTAACATCCGTTAGTTTGTTTAACATCAAGTTATGACATGGTGAATTTTAGACATTTTGAAAAGTTGTGGTGAGTTTAAGAGAAACGCTGCTGAAAACTCATGGTGAGTTTTAGGCAATTTCCCTTTGCAAAAATGTAATAAAACAAAAGCAAAACAGAAAATTTGCTTTCAACTCATTTGCATTGTGATGTTTTTACACCAGTACATAGAAAATTGCACCGCAAACAGACCAAGCCTTGTATAGAAAATCATTTTATATTGTGGTTTAATAGTGGAAAGAGTGATGGCCTGATTGGGATATATCATATATCAAGATATTGATATTAGTATGCAAAGATACTGGTACAATTACATGGCTTTCATTCTATTACAAAATATCACATTTTTGTGGATAGTTGTGTGGGTATGGCCCTTTTGATGAAGCGACTCATCTAAGAATATGGTTATTATGGCGGATCCATTTCAACCTCAACAGTAGCCACTTTTATACGTGCATGGTTCAAAATGGGTGTATCGATACTTTGAACCTTATATTTTTTAGTTTTTTCTTTTCAAAAATTTATATGGGTCATTAATTTTTGTGTTATTTAATTATTGAAAAAAAGATTTTCTAAAAAAATACATTTAATATATAGATGTATCATTAAATAAAACATACGATGTTGGGTGTATAGATACTTTGAACCTTGAATAAGTGTCAGTTTTTAATGTCTATAATACACCAAATATAAGGATTTGTGACAAATGGTCGTATTCAAGAGTTATCTATTCTTCCCAAATATATAGCTTGGTTTGAAGCTAGAAAGGTGACAAACAATTTCAATCCATGAGTATCACCCCTCTAAATCGCATGATTTTGAGTAGAAAGAATAAATTAATAATTAGAATTAGCATCACCAAACAAACTATGGTTGGATCTCTTCATCTCCTGTATTTGCCCATATGGGGTTGACAAATACAGAAGCAACAGCAGGAGCGGTCTTATCTGCCTTGCAAAGACTTGCCATCCTGTAAAATGTCCATAAAAAGGTGAAATAGAGATCTTGAGAGAAGGGGATATCTGAACTACTAAGGCATAACATGGGCTCTTGTCATTTTTTATATTCTGACGTAAAAGTTGGTCAATAGGATTGTGGTTCTTATTAACCAAAATACTCATATTTGTTTTTAAATTGTTTTCTCAAGTATCACTTACCCATCCTTCTCCACTTTGGGAAAGTTGATTTCCTCAAGTAGAGAATAAATGCTAAAATCCCAAGCAATCAAAACTACCCATGGTAAATTTTAACAAAAAAAAGAACATTATGGGTAAGTGCACTTATCCAAGAAAGTGGCCTCTTGAAAAAGGAATGGGACCTTGATGGTATCTAGGGAGAGGGATGGGCGAAGGGCTAAAGGCACTAATGTTTTGTTCGTTTCCGAAAAGTGGGGGTGGATAAATTGGTAGGTCCCAAGAAAAAGAAATAAACCTATGTTCATTTTCTGTAAGAACAATTCCCAAGCAACTTATTTACTTAGGAAAGTAATACTCTCCTTAGACTTAGGCAAATTACTCATCCATGTACATCAAAAATCGCTAATATGTGATGGAACAATATTGTTCCTTCAATAATATTGTCACTCTTTTGAATAAATTGGTCATTGTACACCTTTACTTGGGGAATAAAACAACACTAGCAACTGCTCTTATCCAGATAAGTTTTTTTCCAAAAAACACTTGCTCAGATAAATACATTTAGCCAAGTAAATCATTTACCACAAAACCAATGTGGCCTAAAGTGCAAGTTAGATACCTGATTTTATATTACACTACATCAATTCTAGGTCCTTAATAATTTTACAAAATTTAGCCAGGTAAGTCTCTCCTAGGGGTGATTGATTATAAGTGTCATATTAATATTAATATTTATATACATGTGTATACATATGTGTGGGAGAATTGGGCCTAGGAGTGTCAATGAATTGGTTTTGGGTTAAGCTCCGTCCAAATCAAAATCAATTAGAATGGATTGGACAAATGAATAAGACATACTGAATTGGACAATTCCAAACGTCATGATCTGGATTAGATTGGACCCGATCCATCTGTATTGGATTTATATTGGACTAACGAATAAAACCGAAATATTTTGTTCGGTTTTTGGTTATTTTGATTAAAAACCAAATTATATATATATAATATTATATATTATAACCTATAATATATATTATGAAATGTAATTTCATTATAATACATTATATATAATATATTAATATATAAATATATAACATATTATATATTATATATTATATACTATATAATGAATTTTAATTAATTCGGTTTTTTCGGTTAATCGAATTTCTAAATCTAAAAACCAAAATTACTAAAAACCGAATTACCCAAAACCCAAAAATTTTAGTTCGGTTTCGGTTTTTAACTGAATAATACTCACCCCTACTCTTTAAAGGTGATCATTTCAACCCAACCCGGAAATTCCGGGCTTGGGCCTGGGTTTGTGTTCAGGCCCGGCTTGGGTCCGGGCCCACATTAGGCCCGTAAATTTTAAGGTCGGGTTTAGGCTTAATACTTCAAGCTCAACCCCTTTTGCATATATTTAAACTTACACATTTTATGTATAATGTATACGTATATATACATGCTATTTTACATTAGATTATATATTTTATATATAAATGTTATAACATGACATGTATAATTTATATTATGTGTAATATTTTATATTATATAATGTATAAAATAAGTTTATATGTATATTATGTTATTTAATATAAAATATTATAAATATTTAATATTTTATATATGAAAGACATTAACCCAAAATCAGACCCAACCTGTCTCACGCCCATATATATGTGAGGTAAGACTTATGTTTCAGGCACGGAACCCAGGCTGGGCCGGGCGTGAGCCTAAATTATAACCGTTATCATAATTAGAAAGCCCGGCCCGGCCCGGGCCCCCCTACTGCTCTTGCCTCGGCCAGTCTCTAGATTCTAGAATCCACGAGGTCCACCCGGCAGCCTTGAGCGTGAAGCAAACTTCTTCGTACGCGCTAAGCTCTCGCCCATTTGTAGGGTCTGGAGCGCTCCACGTCTCATCCCAGAATCTAAGCCCATCTGACACAGCTCGGCAGCCAGCTTTGCCCTTATCTCTATATATCTCTCTCGTTTTGGAAGCCAGAGCTCATCCATCCAGACAGACAAATCGCAAAATATTCCGAATTGATTGGTTTTCTCTTCCTCTCTACGGTTCAGCAATGGCAAAAAAAGAAATGGACGTTGTAAAGGGCTTGGATTTGCAGAGATACATGGGACGGTGGTACGAGATTGCTTCCTTTCCTTCAAGGTTCCAACCCAAGGACGGAATCAACACGAGGGCTACTTATACTCTCAACAGTGATGTTACTGTTCATGTCCTGAATGAAACTTGGAGCGGTGGAAAGAGAGGGTACATAGAGGGGACTGCTTATAAGGCCGACCCCAAAAGTGATGAGGCCAAGCTCAAAGTTAAATTCTATGTTCCTCCTTTCCTGCCTATAATTCCTGTTGTTGGGGATTATTGGGTTCTGTACATTGATGATGATTACCGGTATGCGTTGATTGGACAGCCCAGCAGGAATTATCTCTGGGTATGTTTATGGTTCTCTTTTCTTCTTCTGATCCTGTTTTCTGGATGTGTTTTCATGGTAGATCTCTGCATGTTCCTGGTATTGAGCTTCTTAGACTCAGTTTGGAAGGAGAGAAAATGCAAATATATGCACAGTACAAATACATTCAAAATACAAGGTTTTGCACTCTACATGTTTGTATTTGTACTCCTTCCAAGCTGAGCCTCGGTTGTTCTACTACTGCTCTCTGATGTTCTGAGTTATGATCTTTTTATTTCGTGAAATGGGTAATATGATTGTTCTTTTTTTTTTTTAATATCCTAATGCATCGAATTCATTTTACCCTTGATTCTTATTCTTGAGATGAATTCTTGCTTTCTGCCTTGTTTTGTCTGTAAATGCAAATGCAATCTTTGATTTTTGAGTTTCTCTTCATTCTTACAGAAAAAAAGGAACTTTTTCTTATTAACTTTATTTTGGGTTAGCTAGAAAGTTTCTTGCTTTGGCCATTCTTGAAGCATTGTGATGGTTTCTTGTCCTCTGTGTGTGTTCTAATATTTTATTCTTTAGTTTTTTTTGTCCTTGTAGTGCTTCTATATAGCTCTGATATTTCTTTTATGCTTGTTCAGATCTTATGCAGGCAAAACCACTTGGATGAAGATATCTACAATCAGCTCCTCCAGAAAGCCAAAGATGAAGGCTATGATGTAAGCAAAATCCACAGGACAACTCACACTAACCCTCCACCGGAAGCAGAAAGCCCCAATGACACCAAAGGCATTTGGTGGATCAAATCCATCTTTGGAAAATAAGAAAAGATACTAGTGAAGAAAGAAACAAGAGTAAAAGAACAAAAGCATCAGAGGAAACCCATAGGCGCTCTCGGGCCTTCTTTTTTTTCTTTTCTTTTTTCTCCAAATCCTATAAAGATAGTTTGCTTGGATGTAAAGTTGTTTAGTGTAATTAAGCTGTCTAGTGTGAATCCATTTCCATCTAGGTTTTGTTCATTTGGTTTGCTGTGAAACTTTGTGGGTTTCTGGGTTTCTTTTTTTGGAACTTGGGCCAACCCAGCCCCATATTAGTGAGGATAAGTCTTTATTTGGAACTTTGGATAAATGTAGATGTTTGGTTTGGAGTTTTCTAATACAGTGTTTGCTTTCTTTTGGTAATTGACAAAAATGGTGAGAGGGAGTTGAAGTATTGCTGTTTTCTCTGGTAAAAATTATGCTTGAATGAAAGGGAGGAAAAACAGGATGTCTTGACTGTTGTATGAAGCAACTGAAGGAGGAGACACGCTACGTCAGTGATCGCAATTGTCGCCCACCAAGTGCGGACTCTCATGGCGGTTTCATTCATTTTGGCAATTGGTTATTGGCTATTCGCATTAAAGAAGTTTCAGATATCAATATATCATCAACCAGGATGATTTCCACTATTGATTTTGAGGACTCGGGTCTAACTAGGACTTTTTTCACATGATTAGTGAATGGGAATTGATGTAACCGTTTCTGGTCACGTATCTTGTTGTTTGACCTGGTGGTGACGCGTCTTAGTGATGAGCTACTTGGTGGTGAATTGCTCGGTGGCAAGCTTCTTGGTGGAGAGTTACTTGGTGATGAACTGCCTGGTGGCGAGCTGCTTGGTGGTGAATTCTCTGGTGGCAAACTGTCTGGTGGCGAATTCTCTGATGGACTCGTCACTTGATTTGCTCTTAGGCGGCCTGCAACTCAGAGGATGGTGGAGCTCCTTGGTGCAGCACAACCCGACTATCCTCTGCGTGAGATGATTTCCTCTCCTTTGTAGGCGGCGGGAGCTGAGGGACTTGCGAGAACTGAATCAGAGGACTCGGGGGTATTTTCCCGGCGGGGACTCTCCGATGCCTAAGTTAGCATTCTGATTACAGAGAGCTTGGAGAGAAATGAGAGAGCTAGAGAGCAGGGGTTACCATCCTTTTTCCTCTCTCTTGGCTTTGGGGGTCGGAGTCCTTATATAGTGGTGTCCTCGTAGGTTAGGTGGGTGAAAAGCCTTCAAACGGTAAGACTCGTCATATCCCGTCAGAACCGGGGTATGGTGATGAACTCCTCAAGGTTGTCAAGCGGCCAGGTCGGCGCCTGGGCCAGGTTGTCAGGTCGGCGCCTGTGTCAGTTGGCGGATCGGTGTTTGGGCCAGGTTGTCAGGTCGGCACCTGTGTCAGTCGGCGGGTCGGTGTCCGGACCAGGTTGTCAGGTTGGCGCCTGTGTCAGTCGTCGGGTCGGTGTTTGGGCCAGGTTGTCAGGCAGGAGATCTTCTTGCGATACGCCAAACTACTCTTTTGTACCGAACTACCCTACAAGTGGCGAGAAGCCCGGGGGAGCTATGTCGCTGCCTGGCTCCTTGGTGGCGAGCTCCTTGGAGAGCTGCCTAGCTCCTTGGCGAGCTCTTTGGTGAGCTACCGAGCTCCTTGGTGAGCTACCGAGCTCACGGGGTATGCCGTTAATGGTTCTCGGTGGGCGTCTTATAGGTTGCTAGGTCGGCCAGGTC